GCATGAGTTGTCAGACCTATGATGCCTATTGCCTATTGTTGCTTAAGCAACTCTAAAACACGATCAACCGTTCACAATCTTGAAATTCTGTAAGCTAAAAGGAGGGCAATGTTGTCTCAAATTAGATTCTTCCATGGCTTAGCTTGGGTGATGAGACATTCATTTTGACGAAATATGACTTGAGTTTAAATCCGTGAAGAAAGCCCAATCAAAATAAAAATTCCAAATCCAGATAGGACTTGTGGTTTGATGGCCGAACAAGCAAAAAATTGTTGAAATACATTCCTGGCTTGTATAGACTTCTTATTGAGTTGGCCTAAGAGGGTTTTGCGTGTGTTTTGCCGTAACAATCAATACATTTTTAAAAGAGAACTGAAGATGGTGTAGTTTGAGGTTGATCCACATCATGCATGGGTATTTATGGGTTTTATTTAGCCATGTGACCATGGCAGGCGAAGTTGGTAAAAGAGAGGTCACATTGGCATAATTCCTTTTGAACATACCAAAGATGCTATTGTGATCTTTTTTCTTTGCACCATCTTAATTTGTAATTTAATAAGCTTTAATCAGTAATAATTTGATTGAGAATCTTCATGAAATCTATTCGTGGTGGAAGGGAAGGGCCAGGCCGAACTCTCTAGGGGGTGCAAGGGGATGTCACCTAGCCAGACAAACTTGTGCAATTTAGTAATTTCTTTTAGAGTTTTAGTATGAATATTATTTCAGAACACATGAGAGATATCCAGAGATTTTGATAGCTCTCTCTTTTCATTGTAATTTGAGACGTAAATCTTTGCTCCTTTTCGTTCACCCATGGACGTAGGCCTTCAGCTGAATTATATAAGTTTCTTGTTTTGTCTCTTGGCTTCTGCTTTTCAGGCTTCTTGACAGCACAAGGTTATATTTCAGAGACCGAGTTTGGTGGTGGTCGTACGATGGGGAGGTTTGAATTGCCATTTGTCCTGAGTTGACATTCTTTTATTGAAGATTTAATGGAATATAACATAGCATCAAACGGTCATTTTTTGATGCCTCATATCACGTGGTTGTTCTGAGCCGGTGATAAATAATAACACAAGTTTTTAAAGTCTGTATTGACTCCGTCTGTACTAGAGACTCCACTTGTTATGATTTTAAGTAGACATCTTTTGCTTAAGAGAGATACCAGGGAGCGAGTGCATGTTAAGATTGTTTTGTCAAGATGTGAATTATTTATGTTGACCTCGGGGCTCTAGCAGCACCTGCATCGATCAAGCGGATTCCCTCGGTGCACATTAGAAAATGTTCAATCTTTACTTTTTTAATATGACATCTCCAGCTGGAACTTTGGCTCCATCCAAAAGTCGATGTATGAAAAGAGAAGATCCATGAAACCAGACAATAACTTTCGGCTTCTTCAACCGCGTAAAAATACTTGATCAATGCAGCCATACGGAACGGCAAAGAATCCTCCATGGATACCCAACGCACTTGGACAGTTCACTGCATGACTATTCCTTTCAAGTAAACAGTAAACACTCAAAATGTATCATTCAAAGTCAAATACTCTAATTTGGTAGGACTTGGCTCCACAAGTTCCCTTATAGTTGTTAATGATGATCCCACTGCTTTTTGTCATTCCTAGTTTCATTACTTACAAGCACTCAATCACCATCTCATTAAACTCAATTACCAGAATATTTCATATCATCAGAGAGTTTTGTCCAGACAATCACCTTGTGAGGACTCACAATTTACTCTCATTACGCAACATGCAAATTGAATTTGCAGCTGATTGTCCTTCAAAGCAATTTTCTTGTGTCATTACACCAAAAAATAAAAAATAAAAAAAGCCGAAAAGTGCAATTCGAAGTTTCTCTCGTGCATTCACGGTTCACCAAGGCATGCTTGAAGAAAACAAAGAAGAAGAGGAGGTAATTTTGCCCAGGAAGAGATTGGCCATCAGGTTAGTTAATAACCATAAAGACAATTACATTACAACTTGATGGGGGAAATCATCATGTTCGCCTTGTTATCTTACATGGTTGGTTCAATTTTCCTTTTTATATCTTGCAAGTTTCATCCAACTGCAGGAAGAGAGAATAATGTCATTCTCTAGCACTTGAAGTCTTCTATAAAGATCTTGTTAACAAGTGTCTTCAGAGCACTTGTTAAAAAAGATATAAGAATGATAACCAACTTTTCAAATCAATAACTACATATAACACGACGCGGTCGGTACATTGAAAAACTGGAAAGTTTTTTTAATTAGTAGCTTAATAGGTATTCGGGGAACCCTCTCCAACAAAATCCATTCATAGGACTCTTCATGCCTAATTGCTTTAGACTCCTGATTCCTGCCATGGTGGCTCAAGAGACGTGGACAAGTCTGCAATTCTTGTAGGTGGATGGGCCTGGCAGATGGCCGCTTTTCAGTCGGGTTGGGATATAGCTCGGGGGTCCGTCTATGTTTCACGGGCCATGTTCTAGCCCATTCACAGCACCCTATTTGATCATTTGCTTCTGAACAGGACATCGTGAAAGGAAAATGGTTCAGCAGATTGTAGAGTTGCTCGACTCTTCTTACCCCGGAGAATCCCCTTGTAATTACTAAAAATAATTTTTATTTTTATTTATTTTATATTTTTTTTTTCTGACCTTCTTCCCTCTGGCCAGTCAGAGGCAAATAAAAAAAATAAAATAAAAAATCGAAAAAAATATTTGAAAAAATTGCCACGTCAGCGTTAGTTGGATGGCCGGCGTCCACGTCAGCACCGGCCGGCCAAAATTAGTCGAATGGACTCAATTGGCAAGAAGTGAAAAGGTTTAGGACTCAATTTACAAACTTGAAAGATTTAGAACTGAATTGGCAAAATTGCAATAGGTTTATAACTTTTTGGACAATTTTCTTGTCAATTCCTTGAGAGCTAATGTTTATCTAGGAAAAAATGTACTCGATAAGTCAAGTGATTTAGTAATTTCATCCACCCATCATAGATGTGATTACAGCAGAATTGGGATCCTTTCGGGATAAACCAACATTCCATGCTGCATCTATATAATGACGGCTTGGGTCGTGCCATGTGTATGCCCCCAACCAAAGCATTATTTAGTAATGGCGCGTCGTGTCAACAGATTCGATAAGTACGTTTTGTATTCTATGAGGCCAAATGGACCAATTTATTGACACGAACTTTTCTGTGCATAACTAAATTAAGGAGGATTGTCATGTGAGTTATGTGCAAATTCTATTTCAGAGCCCGGCTTTGGACTTATTTCTTTTGCTAAGTACACTAGAATCTGGTCAGTCATCACTTCTACAACGAGCAAGTATCGGATATAGTCGGATAAATGAACCTGGCTAACATCCACCGTTAGATCAGGTGGGGCCCACTTCATCTAAAAGTGCATGCGAGATGGTTCACATTCACTGGGTGCATGAAACATTTTTTCTTCTACATCACCTCGATGTGCATTAAAAGTGTTGAAGTATTGCCGTTTGATTGGCTGTGACTAGAAGTTCATAAAATTTCGAATGCAAGTACCTTTTTAATTCATTCTTGGATTTCTGCAACTCTCATGCCTTTGGAAAGCTCTGGACTTATAGTTGTTTGGTACAAGTTTTGTTCAGTTTAGATTTTTGGGTTTTGATTTCACCATGTGTTTTCCTTGAAAAAGTGGCTATGTTCGTTGGAGACATGCAGGGGTTTCGGGTGAATGATGTCTTACTGAGCTTACAATAACCCAAGATATTCACGAAGTTTTGGGGGGACACGAGCTAATTCAAAGAAATTATACCAGCATAGAACTTTCAACGTGAGTTCAGTGTGAGGTTGATTCACGTGGCACATTCATGTGCAAATTTTATCCAATGATTTGCTTTTGATAGTGAGTTCAGTATACCTCTAATGCTCGCTAATATCTAACCTTAGCAAATATCTAATTCCACATATCTAATACTTATCCGCACATACTTTGATAATACTTTCCTATCGATTTACAAAAAATAAATCTTTGAAGAAATTATTTATGTGTATATATATTCTATTTAATTATTTATCTATATGTGATCTATTTTGATATATGTATATATATATAATTAGATTAATGATCAAAGATATCTAATAGGTTATAATTCCAGATATCTGATAGGTTATAATTCCATGTGCCTCACAATTTATGTGGACAAAATCCTATATCTGGTATATTTCGAATTTTATAGTTTATAAGAATAAAGTCGTACATCTGGTATCATGTCTATCGTCGGTATTCTTTATATTAGATTATTTTGATTATCAAACCATTCATCTGAAGAGCAACTATAAAAAAAAAAAATCAAATGCTCAAAAAGTTATTCCACGATGAAAGTTATATTACATGATTGCACGTACTTTTTAATAAATGTTTAAAAGTAATTGTTTATGTAAACCTAGATTCTATTATGAAAGATCTATATGTAACTAATGAATGATCAAAGATTTATGGTAGGTTTAATTCCATCTATTTCACAAGAATAAAGTCTACATTTGATACCATTCTTATCACCAAAATTTTGTATGTATAGATTTTTTCTATGAATAAGTGTTCATCTCTCATTCCCTGATGAAAGTTATATTACATGATTGCGCGTATTTTGGTAATAAACGTTGAAGATAATTGTTTATATAGATTATATTTTGAAATACCTGGAGGCTAAAAATGTTTAAGCTGATGGAAACAATTTCTGCATCTAAATAATAAAAAAAGATAAAGAAAAAACTAATTTTTAAAAAGTTATATTCCAAGATTGAGCATATTTTGGTACTGAATGTAAAAAAAAATTGTTTATGTACGTGTAGATCCAATTTTGAAGTATCTATAGGCTGAAATTTTAAAATGAGTAAATCATTCAATAAATAGATCTTTGGTAACAAGGTAGGGAAACATGATTCATAGTAATTGTTCAAATACTTTGAGGAAATAAATTCAGTATCGCATTGGCCCCGCTACAACCAACTAAAATGAAGACATACACTCAAATCAAATTCGTCAATCCCATGACATGTCCAATAGTTATGCTTCACTCCCAAATGCTCTCGGGACGAAAGATGCTGGGTCCATAAGTGGATTTAACCATTTGGTATAGCAAGGGAAGCTGTAGTACTACAAATAAAGCCACGGGGAGAGAGGCCAGCAAAGTAATGGGAATGAGAACCCACTCCAGTCTCTTATCCAGCACAGTTCTGAGAGTTGCAGCGAAGGCCACTAGCATGAAAGCCAAGGAGAGGAAGAGTAAAGAGAGGCCCAGTATGATCTTCTTAGGCAATGATTCAAGAAAATCTTGCGCCTCATACCGCGAAGTTAAGATGGCTAGGAATAGTAAGATGGAAGTCACGGAGGATAACAAACCTAACGCATCTGAAATTGCAAAAACCAAGAAGGAGTCCTGTCCTAACAACAATGGCACTCCAGTATTTCCGTTATTCCCTCCAGGCATGGTGAATGCAGCAGCAAACAATACTGTGGCAATTAGAGTTGAGACAAGCATACATGAATTTGCTGTGTCCTTCACCCACTTCTCTCCGCTTTCAAGCAAATCTTTGTGCTTATCCACAAATCTATTCCAATATGTTTTCCCATCCGCGTAGAAAATTTTCAGTACAGGGATAGTCCAGCTTTCCACAGCCTATACATAAAATTCACAAAGAGGATTTTCAATAAGTGGATAAAGTATTGAAAATTTTCAAAAAAACTGACGAGGGGCACATCTCAAGGAAATTAAGACTTATCCAACAAAAATGTGAAATTGCTTAGAGGTCAAATCCATGTTTACTATTAGATTTTCAGGGGTCACTTTCTTCTAAGCTTCGATAATCATTTTCTGCTTCAATATAGTCAACTAATATATGTATGGAAAGCACTATGTTTCTGGTTTCAAAGGGATCAAGTTTCATCCTATTTGGAGTCTTCCAGAGGAATATATGGAAAAAAAATATTAAGAGATAGTCAAGAAATCCGAGAATGAGTCTTTTGGTATGTCTATGTGCTTTGTTGAGTCCTTAATGTTGTATTTTGTTTCTAAAGTCATTTGAACGAGGGGGGTCGACCCTCGTCGACGGTCCAGCGAGGGTCGTTGCACTCTGAGTGACTCCAAGGGTCTCCAAACCTTGCCAGTGACAAAGGGGGTGGCCCCTTCTTGTTCCTCTTTGACGATCTCTTTCTCTCTATTCTTCGACATTTTTTCTTAAATCTAGTCCTTTTTTATTTTTTGTTTTTGAGATTTGGCGCCTACTATACGTGTATTAGTGCTACTTATGCAAAACATAAAAATTAATAAAAAAATGCCATATAGATGTTCCGCTCATAAAAATTTGACAGAGCTAACGAAAGGACTAACGTGAAAGATATTATCAACCTTTAGGACTTATTGAATTCAAAGCTCTAGGACTTTACATAATTGTCCAAAGTTCTTTTTTAATGACAAAGAGGAATAGAGAATCTAAATGAATAAAGGTAGATACATAGTAAAAGCTCCATGATATCATTTTTTTTTTTGTGGACAATGTTTGGCATGAGTAAATTTTAGTTCATAGCTAAATTAACTAATGAGAAGTGTTCTTGAAGTAATAGCTATTCAAATGAAAATAGTTGCCATAAATGAACTTAGCTAACCTTTTGATTGAAAAAGAGAAGATTCAATTCATATTACTTTAATTAAAATCATTATCCATCTACATACATTTAATTACATCTGAACTACATTATAATCTTAAATACAAAATATCATGCAACGGAATGAGCATAACTATTGTGAAAGTATAAGCATAACTGATTTAAATGTTTTTTTGGGTTCCACGTTAATATACATGGGTTATACATGAAATGATTTGCACAATAATCCCCTAATTGCATGGTGGCAGACACCTATTCAAAGAGTCGGTTGAATTTCAGAAAGAGTCAATTGGATTAGATTATGTGGTGGATCATAGCTATATTAATAAAATTGATACGTAATTTAATTGATGAGTTTTAATAAGTTTTTAGTGCTCCAATTTCTCTAATCAGTCTCCCTTATTTTCCGTAAATTGTTCTGAGGATGTAGTGTTGTTACTCAACTTACTTTAGTAATTTATGTTTAGCATGTGGAATTTAAAAGTTATATGTACCAACAAAGTGTTGACTTAGATGGCAAAAGAGTTTCTTGTTCTCATTATGATCTTGGATTCAAGTCATATTGGAAGCATTTCAGGAGTAAAGTCCTAAATGCACCATATCGATGTGGGGCAGTCAGCTCTTAAGATGACCCAGGAATATTGACACCTAAATTTTGGCTACATAATTGTCAATACCTAATTTTGTCGGCCAGGTAATAGGAAAAAAAAAATGGGCCCTGTTCGACCCGACCCGCCTGGGCCCGGCCTTTTCCTTTTCCTCCCCTTTTTCTTTCTTTCTCCACGGCCCAGCCTTTTTTGCCCTCTCCTTTTTTCTTCTGAGCCCAGCCCTCCCACACGCCTTCTTCTCTCTCGTCTTCTGTCCCTCGCGCGAACGACAAACAGAAGGAAGGGGCTGCAACAAAAAGATGACAGCCGCGATTTCAGAGAAGAGGAAGCAACGATACATTGCTGCAGTGTGGCAGCATCTATGCTTGACAGAACCCAAGAAAACCTGCAGCCATTTTAGCCGAAAATGGACCCAACTCAGTCCCAAGGAGTGGACCGGTTGCAGGCGTGTACAGAGGCAGGGAGGGCGGACTGATCAGTGGCAGTTTCGAGCTGGAAATAGAAGAAACAGAGAGCTGGCTTCGTTGACTATCCAGAACCGTTTTGGAGGGACGCCAAAGAGGGGGACCGGCGACAGTTTTAAAAGAGAGAGGAGGGGGCCGAGAGAGGAGAGGGCTCGTGCGAGGGAGAGAGAGAGCTGTGAGAGAGAGAGAGAGAGAGAGAGGGGAGCTGGGAGAGAGAGATTGAGCGAGAACAGAGAGGGAGGGAGCTCTTCCGGTGACCGCCGTGCTTGCACCGCAACCATCGACCCACCGGCGTCGCCCTTTTTCCTTGCGCGAAGCCTCCGGTAAGTCTTTGTTCTTTTTTTGGTTTGATGATATGATGAGAATTATCATTAAGCATGGTTATTAAATATATGAAAAGAAAGATATTTACCTTATACCATTGGAGTTCTCTTTGCATTTGAAAAGCTGCTCCGGCCACGTTAATTACCGCATTGAAATTAGGGCAGTACTCTGTTGCTACGTACTCTACTACTGCGCTCATCATGCTCTGCGATTCTGCCTCAGTTGGCCCTGGAACTAATGACAACTCATTGGCTGAGCTTACCTCCAAAAAGAGCCTGAGAGTCCTTTCTTGGCGGTACCTCACAGCCTGTGTCGGCAACCTCTCACCTCTTACCTTAATCCGAATAAGTTCCGGGAAAAATTGAACACATAACTTCACGATTTCACTGATTCCCTTGACTGTAGCTTGACCCAACAGGTTTCCCTCTAGGAGAAAATCGGTGATCTCGGTAGATTTCCAATGAGAGATCGCAATGCAAACTTGTTTTGCCAACTGGACTGCCGCCACGTGTTGCAACTTCACCTCGTGCACCCTCTTGATCATAGGAACTGCAAAATGTTAAAGAAAAAATGAAAATGAAAAATGAAGAGGCGTCAATTGGATTTTACTTAGAAGAAAAAAAGTAGTCCAGCTTTGCATCCCAATTTTTGTTATCAGACACAACAGTTTACTAATTGTCGTATTTTCCGACAAAAGCCCCTACCACATTTAGAGCTTGGGTTGGCGGGTAATTGGGAAAACGATCTCATTCTTTTTAATTTTTATTACTCTTTTAGAAAAGCTATTTCGATCTTTTTTTCTCCATTGGGATTCAGTCCTTAAATGCAAAGCGTGAGTTTTAGTAATTGCTGATGCAAAGTACAATAAAAGGTATAAAATTCATTTTTGGCATTTTCCAAGAATAGGTTTATATCATGTCTGGATGAAAAAAATAATTGGATGTGAAGAAAGTAGAAGTGATTAGAGGGTAACTGAAGAAAGTGATATTCATTGATGTTCAAACGAGGCTTTATAATGTTAATCATTATTAAAAGAATATAATTATGAAACCTGACAGAACGCCAATGACATCTGTCTAGCCAGAGTAAATCACAATAGTCTTTGCATATATAAGATTATTTGAGATAATATTATTCAAATGTGCATTGCAACTAGTAATAAAAAAATTATATTAATCTTGCAATCCATTGTATTGTTATTTATGCTCAGCACAAGAGCAAAAACTTTTTCTTTCACCATTCTATTGTCTCTAACGAGATCAAAACTTCCACATGAGGTCACACAATGGTAAGTGACGTTTGAGTTTACTTATTACCCCCTAAATGACATAGTGAGTAGAGTTAAATTTACTCTATTCTAAAATAACTTTTAATATGATAAAAATACGCAACACGCTATACTTCTGTTTTCCTTTTGTTCTTTGACAAAAATAGCAGAATTAGGGACAACGCTAAAGGGTATTTCAGGTGCATACAAAAGTTGGGTGAAGATGACAAATGCAACTACGGGCAAAAGTCGTGAATAAGTTTCGGGAATTATAGGACTTTTTTTAGCTGTCAGGTGGTGTTTGGGCTAATTTTCGTGCACTTCGAGCGGTCCACCTTCTCGAGTAATTTTAAGAGCACGGTCTCCCATATCGGCCTAATGTATTTAGGATCTTATTTTTTGGAGTGCGTCCAACAAATCTGAAATACGGGATTATAAGAAGAGGAGAAAACTCATTTATTATCTAACCAACAGCTTGTTGGTATAGGATATACAACTTGGGGTGGAATTCTGGGATGTACGATTTTGTTGGGACCCACAAAATTTGCCCCCACTGAAATATTCTATTCCAAGCCCTCCCAAACAAATTACTTTTGATTTTTGCTACCTGCTCCTATTCCTATTCTTCACGACTTTTTAAAGTTGTCAAATAAGAGTGTAAATTTGTTATGTTAAATGCGATTAAATGATAAACCCATGCCTTCATCTATTACAACCTTATTTCATACTTCATTGTCAATGACGCTAGGGGCTTGGCCCCGGTCCCATGCCCAATTCCTGCACCCTCTTAACGTGTTCTTTCATGTTGTATTGAGCACTTCATCCGTGATGGAGGAAACAAATACAGATGGATTCATTGTTGTTATTTTTCCAGAAAGATTTACATGCTTGATAGAGATGATGAAGCGAACATGATTTCACCAATCAAGATTGAAGGAGAAGTCCTAGGATTACGTAACTCTTATTCCATATCTTCTGCTTAGATATCGTTTAGCCATAAGCAAGAAATTCCTAGGTTAACATCAAATCTCGCCTCAATTTACAATTTCAAGTATTCTTTTTTAACTTTTTTTTTTACAATTTCGTGACTCTTACAATTGGAATTTGGTGAATATCTGAAATCTTTCAAAATATAAAAAATATCAAACACAGAAAATCATATATAACTTTGTTTGAGTTTGAATAATCTTTTGAAGGATTTTTATTAGATCCATCCACGGTGTAAAGAATAAGTTACACATTCATTGTTGGACAATCGATACGTGGAAAAAATTAATTACAAAATTAACTTCAAACACACATTTTACTCGTCCAATGGTGAATGTGTAACTATTTTTTCACATAGGAAGTGGGCCTAACACAAATTCTTTTCCAAATTATCGCAAAGAATTAAGTAGGATTTTTTTCTACTTATAAAAGAAGTAAAAAACAAACAAGCCATAGACTTTTAATTGGAGAGAGAGGGACAGAGATAGAGACGGTATCTTGATTAAACGGAAGCGTACCTACAATTTTGGCGGCATTCCAAAGTGACCTTGTGAGACATTGAAGCGCTACAATCAAGTTGCAAAGAAAACTCCATCACTGGATATGAAATTATCGTAAGACCTCGTAATTTGTTCTTTACATTGTCTAATCAATTAAGTTATATGATACTTATGTACTTTGTTGAATCATATTTGGTTTCCAGGGGATAGCTACTACACAAAGTAGTTCAATTTCAGGCCATTATTCAAGTAAAACTAGGTCAAGAAACCAGAATATATCCTACAAAGAAACGATCATTTGCAGTTTCTTTTGCTAGTACGGAGGGAATCAACCTAAGAAAATTGACTTAAAGTTCAAAATCATGAAAGGTTCTAAGATAATGCCCAACAGCAAAAATGCATACCCACCCGGATCCGAATTTTTATCTGTTGGTTTGGTGTTCAAGTCCCCCGGAACACCTTGGGTTCAAATACAAAAGAGCAGGTGATGAGCCAGGTATGATCATCTTGAAGGGAATCAGTAATGAAGGGATGCGAGTGCAGAAAGTACGGACATTTGTATATCAATGCTTCCAAAACACTGAGCCTGGTTCCGCTGAGAAATCGAGACTCCACACTCGCCAACGCGTCCAGTATAGAATAGTGTCCACCATGCACTCTGCCTTTCACGGTAATTAAGTGAGGGTACCGCCCAACTAGATAAAGAGTGATATCTGTCCAAACTCACCAGCAAAGTTAATCAGGAAAATAAGCTAAGTCTAAAAGGAAGGAAAAAAACATATGGAATTGAGATAAATAGTGATGGTGATCTTACCATGATGACCATTGAAGGTGAGATGTATAATGGTGTCCTTCGCAGAGGGACTGCGGAAGGGATGACTTGGCGCATCGTTTGTCGTACTTTTTGCCAGGAACCAGGCAATCTCCTTATGCATAGAAGCTTCCAGAGCAGATATTCCCAAAGGAAAACGTCCTTCATTATCTGCAAGTTGCGTCAACTTAGGATTACTTCTAACTAATGCCTTGACCATCCTTATCCTTCCACACAGGACAGCAATGTGGAGGGCTGTGCAGCCATCACAATCAACCATTTCGAGCACTTCCGGATATGGAGACAAGAGCTCAACCAGGTCCTCAACAAATTGGTCATGTGCACTCAAAGCGGCTATGTGAAGCGCTGTTTCTGATCTGCTTGTTATTTTGGCCGTCTTTGAAGCAGAATCTTGTTCGAAAAATCTTTTAGCAGATTCCCAATCACCCTTGAATGCAGCTTGCAACAATGGTCGGTAGTAGTGTCCATCGACTGCCTCTTCCGATATTTCTGCAATAGATGCAAACCTTTAAGGCCATTTTGTTAATACTTTTTCTTGCAGACATCGAGAAGTGTCCCAGAAAAGAACAAATTCATGAAGATCCGCCCCTGATATTAATTTCACACTGAAATTACTCTCTTGAGGGACAACGCACCTGGAGCACCTCCGGATTGAGAAGGAGTCGATCCAACGCTTACACGAACATCTTCAATATATGTAGGAGAAAGAGTGAGCACAAAATCCTTCCCATACTCATTATTTTTTTTCTTCTCTTTTTCCTAGCCAAGTCCGGGTTATATTTGTTCGATGATAAAGCAAAGAAAAAGAACCATGAGAATATACAAGTTCCAGCATATTTTAAGACCGCATTGCTTATATCTAATTTTTTGTCGATTGGAACATGAAACATGTACCTGCAGGTTGTTCTGCATGATTCGGATTTCCTTGTTGTAGACTTGGTTGCATTGCCATTGGGTTGCTCTCCTGGTTAGGGTCTTTCAACAACGAAGTAAACGGAGAATGCAAAAATGGGTAAGATATTCAGCTATCAAAGAGTTATAGTCTCCCTAGGGGGGAGTTCAGTCCTTCCTTGTATGCAAGTACTTCCCTTAAAGTAAAGGTGAGCCTCCAATATTACAGCAAGCAAGCTTTTTTTTTTCCACTTTATAGCGGTTGGATAGCTCGGGTGTAAAATTGTTTATCCTTGGGAATATAGACTAGTCCTACCAGTTAGCAAGCAGCCTTAGGCTCTAGTGCCACATATCATTAGGTTTAGTCTCCAGTGATGGAATCATTATTTTAAGATGACTCTGTCGCTGTCCCCCTTACTATAGAGTTCATTCCATCTCTTGACATCATGATCAAGTTGTGTCTTTACCAAGTTAAGTTGATTCTTGGGCTTGGGAAAGCTATTCGGTCAACGTAATTCCCAAGCCTTTAATTAAAGCCCAAAATAAAGCTATGAGCGAAATGAGCACCTCACTTTGACAAAAACCCAAAAGCAAAAAATTTCAATTTGATTCAAGGTAGAATCTTTCTGAAGAGACAGCTTTCATACAATGGAAATTCTCCAATTTCTTGTTTACATCTCCAAAACTGTCAATGAAATACGTTTGGTAAAAATTTTGGTTGTTGTGTTTTCTAAACTTTGAACCTTATAACTGAAAATGACCTTATTTTGTACAGGACACCAAAAATGTTTTTATAATTTTCATTCCCGTTGAAAACTTATATTTTTTCACTCACCAAATATATTATCAAGAAAATGGAAGATGAAACCAAAAAACAGTTTTCATTAGAACATTTTTGTGAACCAAAATGCACACTAAATACCTTTGGGGAAATTGTCCAATCAATTATAAACCTATTGTATCGATATCAATTCAAGTCTAAACTTTTCAATTTTACGAATATACTTAATGAATCAATTGGTTGTACTTGGTGGCCACACATTGCTTTAGAAATTTTAGTTCGGGGATATTAATTTTATTTTTCGGTCCCTATAGGTTGGGAAATCTCACTTTAATTTCTATATGTTGTTTTGTTACAATCCTATCCTTATATAGTTCTGTGGTGACAATTAAGTCACTTTATCAAATTTACAGAGACAAAACGTGTTGTTTGCCCCGAATAATTTTAAGTAAGTCTTTTTCAAAAAGAATAGTTTTAATTTCTGATGATTTAGTAGAACTTTCCAAATTATTTAGAAATCTTTCTCCGTTAATGTAGTTTTTCAAAGCAATCCTTATACGAAATAATGTCAATTTTGGTCTTTTTCAGTTCTAAGGTTCAAATTTTGAAAACACAGAAATCAAAATTTCTACCAAACGTATTCTCATTAAAAATTTTGGAAATGAAAACAAGAAATTGCAAAATTTCCTCGTACCAAATATTCCCTTAGAGTCCTGCAAATTATTCTTCTTTCACACTCTCTCCTTCTTTCACAAGGATTTTACAAAAAAAATGTCCAGACACTTATTAAGTAATAAAAGAAAGAAATATTTCATTTTCAATACATTCACTGTCCATGATGTTGCTTATACTACTTTGAAATTAACACACAAAAAGCGAAATTCCCCTTCTGGAATCAAATCGCAACAACAAAGGACAGAACGGAAAAATATGCCACAGTGGTGCCAATGGTGGCAATGTCAACCCACGGGAAAATTACCAAAAAAGTCTTAAATCTATTGTACTTTTGAAAATTCAGTCCTAAACATTTTAATTATACCACGTAGGACGGCCAATGTCTATGTCAGTGATTTCTAGCCAAAATTGGCCAAATGGTCTCAATTGGCAAAACGTGAAAACGTTTATAACTCAATTGGTACAATTAAAAGATTTAGAACTAAATTAGCAAAAATGTAATAGATTTATGACTTTTTTAGTAATTTTCCCGTTAATCCTTTACTTTGGGTATCCTTGGAGGATTCTTTGCCGTGACGCCTCATGAGCACTGTAAATTTCTGAAGTAGAGAAGTATATTTTCGTGGTTGAAGTCGAAGTCATTAGGTATTCTCATGGATCTCCTTATATAGATTTCATATTTAAAAAAAAAAAAAGGATGGAACGTTTTTCATGTTCATCGTACAATTGTTGACTACTTTGCGTTTTTAAAATAGATTTCAATTTGCGTTTTTCGTGGGTCGCGGGAACAACACTTTCTCTAATTGACTACTTTCTCTTTTCGAATTGTTCATGTATCACGCAAGGAACCAACACTCGTACAATTCTCTTTTCCTGAATGGCGATTTCATTTTCAAATGCTATGACATCAGCAAATTAATGCAAATTCCTTTTCTTTACAGAAGTGTAAATTTGGAAATTTTACTAAAAGAAGATACAAGTGTCGCATAATTACTTTTTCTTTTTCTTCCACCATCCGCTGCTTTGCAAATTACACAATTCAATGGATCTTTATTCAATGCTACTAGCGATGTAAAAATTTCTTTACATAAGCAGGTTATACAACTTTTATTTTTAACATGTAGATTTACTCCATAAACAGATTTTTCTTTCCATTCTGAGACTGCTTGTGTAGAAAAGACTTACACACATAGTGTATGTAATATAAACCCTGTTTCGATGGGCTTTTATTTTGTACAATAACGGTGTAAAGTTTTCTTCCGACATATAGGTTTTGGATAAGAGATGAGGCATCCGCATGGAAGAGTTAAAGATAGAGAGGGCGATTCATATTTGAGCTTTGCTGCATGGGCCGACAATACAGTAAAAACATTCCAACTCCCTTGCAATGGCACCCTGGTCTAAATTTATGAACTTCGAGGTGGTTTTTTGGTGAGAAACAGTCGTAGCATTTTCGGTTCACCGAATTCGGACCAGGTGAGTCCTTTTCCTTTCATGTCTGTGGGGCTCGGTTGTTGCCGGCAGGCATGCAGCTCTGTAGGCAAGCTGGGAACCAACAAACCCCGGCAAAAAAAATGTTCTGTGGTTAATAGTAACAAGGAAAGGGCGCAAAAATAGGAAAAAATAATAAATTAACGAGGGAAGAGGAAGACTGATAGAGCTTAGTATAGAAATTAATTTAAATTATCATAGGATGGAAAAGCTTCAATTCGAATTTATAATCTGCGGTAGAGATTTTTATGTAAAAGCATAATTTTGTGGATCTTTGTACATTACCATTTTAACCACTGTTTAAAATACATGGTTACTGTTCATTAATTTTCAGTTATGGATATTTTTCGAAATTTCAAGCCGACGTTGAGAATGGTATTGGATTTACTATGTAGAGATGGTGCACTGTCAAAACAGTGAGGTATTGATGGTTTCGAACAAGGGAAAATTTCATTGGACAGGTGAGAGAAGGCCTTGCCCATCTTTGGTAATTATGGTTGAATATCTAAATAACAACTTAGATCAACCTGTGCAACCTAAAAATCTAACTTAAATAGTTTTCGTTCCCACATTTGGCAATTTAATTTTTACTGGGGACATGTTTTCCTCCATTGTTGGTCAGAAAAAATTTCCTCCTATCAGTTCATGTGGGTTACATGCTTGAATGTTACCCATACATGCTTGAATATTACCCATCCATAACTCTAAAATATAACAAAAAAACAAAGAAACAGAGAAAACCAAGATCAGCCCGCCCTCTTTCTTCCTTTCTTTCTACTTGTTCAACCAGGCTGCTGCACTATCACCACACTCCACCGCGCCATCTTCTGCGCTCTACCTCGCTGCATCCATTGGCGTCTCTACTGTGGTCCCATCCACCACGAGCGAACCGTTGCCGACCAAGCACCGGTGGAAATAGAGGTGGCAGAGAAAGGCAGGCTCGAAAGAACAACTTTAACGAACTCAGGCAATTTCTCTATTTTCAAAAGAAGGAACTATTAATTAACTCATATATATCATCATCATTTAAATGGAGATATAAGATATTGTAATCGGGTTAATGAAACCAAAGGTGATGAATGTTTACCAATTATCCATCGTATGTAATCATTTTTTTAAACAATTGGGTTCCTATATTATATACTTTTTTATCAATTAGCTAATGAAAATCAAAGGCTTTGAGTTTTTACCAATCATTTGATATCGTTCTTAAACTCTTTTTATTGATTCAATTTCTGAATTACATGTTTTTCTTGTTCATGTTAGTTTTATATTAAAAAAATAAGTGAAAATGCTGAAGTGGTAATCAAGTTATCACTATATGTCAAGTTGACACCCTATGTGGCTACTAAAAAGGAAAAATTACTAAAAATATTCTAAATCTATTGCACTTGTATCAATTTTGTCCTAAACCTTTTAACAATTTGCCAATATAGTCCATCTGGACAATTTTGACTGAAAATTGATCACGTGGATGCCAACCGTTTTAAATGGTATGGCCAACGCTAGCATGGAAATTTTTCTTTTCTTTTCTTATTATGTTTGTTTCTGTATAAGTATTCTTGCCTTCACTTAGTCGCTTGATACAGAGACAGTTGTATATGCTGCAATTCATGTGTGAGGCCCACCAACAGTGACAATTGCTAAAAACATACTATAATATATATAGTTAAATTATGCACAAATGATTGTCTGGTATGCTAATCTTTTCAAAGATGAAGAAGCTCATGTTAGCTAGTTAGGTTTCTCTTCAGCCGATGAAATTCTTTATTGATTGATTTCATGGATCGAATAGAATGTGAGTGAAAACCTGAGTGATTGATCCAAATATTAAATTATCTGTACTTGCTACTTGCTAGCATGGAGATTCCAACATGGCCAAACGCACATCATTCTCCACACATAAAAAAACTGATTCAGCAGCACTAATTTCTCCATCCTACTCAAGAACCATCCTCCTCTTTTAATTGAAACCACCGAGGAAAATTCTTGAACATTGAAAAGAATTTGCTGGTCAAAGTTCACAACGGTCCTCTACTACCTATTATTGCTGACCCAGCCTCAGTGCACCTCCCCATCGCGCCCACCACCCATCTTCAATGCTTGACTCCTACTGTCATATCTCTTTGTATGTATAACTGACTAAGCCCCCATGGATGAGAGAGAGAGAGAGATGTTGCTACCTCGCCTAAGATGTTCTCAAGAGGAGCGGGACTAACGATTCGTCGCACGGGAATGGGGGTCCCTATAATCGAGGTGCTTGCTCTTGTTCGGAGCGAGTTCTTCCAAACCAGA